AAAACTCCATTGAACACATGGCAGCAAAAGACAATAAAATACATAAAAAAAATATAACTGTGCAGCCATTGCATAAAACAGGTACATTATACATATCCCCAGATAGCTCAGATCTGAGCGCACATTACTGAATGGCGCTCAGATCACACACATTGCCATTGCCATGGAGCCAAAGTCTTTCCCATAGTCTTTCATTATATGAATGGGCTCCATGGCATAGCTATCTGGGGTATCACCGCTCTAACAGGGCAAGCACCGAATGACCCGGCTTTCGTGTCTTTGCAGGGGAAAATTAAGCGTTTCAACATGGGGCCATAGTCTAAAGGCAGTAGACGGGCAACCAGACTCCTCCAATGCACAGTGGCGAGATTGGTCTCGTCACAAGTTGAATAAAGCTATTTTTTCTGATTGCATTTAATCTCTTCAGATATATGAAAGAACATTTAATTTTATATTGTATGAGTTTTGTGTATCTCAACTAGTGCCACCTTAGAAAAAAATTTAATCTCCCTTACTATTATTAGTTATAAACTCAGAATTTAATATACATATCACATTCTTTGCTTTCCCTGAACGATTAATTCACCCTGAATATAATAGTTTCCCTCACTTCTCTTGACACATTACTAATGCCAAATATTTTATCTGGCCACTCAGAGTGCAGAGTGACCTAAAGGCACAATTAGCGGTTCACAAGGTTCTGTTTCAACAGCTGCAGCAAAAAGAGGGCCACCAGCTATTTCCATTATTTGGCTTTCCCCAATTGCACATGTTTTGTGAACTAACAGAAAGGAAAGTGAAATTTGTAGCCAACAAGCTAAATGTTAAATGTTTTTATGAATGTTATTCTAATGCAATTGAGATTTGGGTAACAATAAAAGACTAACAGGAAAAAAGTAAATCTTTTGTAAATCTATGTGTTTGTAGCCTCTGCTAAGACAGCAGAAATGCAGAAAACAGGGAAGAGTAATTTATACAATCAATGTCCAAGGTTCATTATTCATTTAATATAACACTTGAAGCACTATAATCTCTACAGCCCACTGAAGTGGTTATGGTGTCAGGAGGGCAGTAGGAAATCATCCTACAATGAGATGTTAAACCATTTCATCATAGTTTAATAACTTAATTAGGTCTTGCCCGGCACCCAAGCTGCAGTCATACCTTTTCTCCAGCTAGAGAATATCACTATAGACAATGTTTCCTCCAATTTTTTGTAGTTGGTCAGCACATAAATATTTTATTGTGCCAATTTATTCTTGTTATAGAAGTATGCGCACACTAAATGCTTGTTTGTTACATCCTTTCTTTTATAGCTAATAAACCTGTATTACCATGTCTTAATATAATGCAAATATGATTGCAAGCTATGCAGTTTAGTTAAGATTTTATTCTATTATTTGAAGTTTGAAATGCTTTGCTTTGAAATGCTTTGTTTGTGGTTCCATTTTCTAAAACATCAATGAATATTTGTTATGTTTATGTGATCCAATGTTGAAATGAAGTAATAACAATGACACCAGACAGAATGTCAAACTTCAGGTTATTTTTTATTTTTACTAAAGTTCCTGGAAGTGGGATTTGATTCTCATTAGCATGTTCAAATGACATTCACCTAATCAGGTTCTTCTTCTTGATAATATACTTCACATATATTGGGTGCTTATTGGGTATGTAATTTGTTTGTTTGGTGTTAAATATGTGTGTGTTTTTCAGTCCTGCTGATTTCCTCAACCAACTAGGTGGATTTGGCTGTGGCGCCTGTACAGTGCCATCTGTTGCAGGGATCCTGAAACACCTATATGCACTACCTGAATAGCAAGGATTCTTTATTTGTATATTCAGGTAGATTTGCACATGATGAATTCTGCAGGCAGGGGAGATATTTAATGTTCCTTTTTGTCTTCACCCCTTTTTAAATATGTTATAAGTTCCTGTATGTTTTCCAACATGTTTGATTATTTGTATTTTATTAAGTTTGTCACAGCAAGTTTGATGTAACGAACATATGGGCTAGTCCCAAGTAAAAATAAAACTTTATCCTTTCTCTTGCTGTAGATATCCCATCCCTTCCTCCCCAAAATTTCCAATGGAAACTGAATGATATCCTAATAAATGACCAAAAGATCACCAAGCTTAAAGATACTATAACCTAATACTTCATTCATAATACATACACCGGATTCATACCACACTGCAGTGTGTTACTCAGAATATAGAGGGATTCATGGTGTGTATCATTCTGTACATAGAAGGGTTCACTGTGCAAAGCAGTGTGTGCCATGCAGCATATAAAATCAATTGTTACATTTTCTGTATGTAGAGAATCAGTTTGTCCTTATTGTGTTCATGACTTGGAGCATCATTTACTCTTTTGTTTGCAAAAGTCAAGAACATGAACATAGTTTCTCTTTTATGGCTAATGGTAGTGAAACTGAAAAGGATGGAAGAGGCTCCTTCACTGGGAGCAGGAGGACACTTTAAAACAGTTCCTAAATTCCTCCTTTAAGTCACCCTGTGCCCATTATAGGTGCAGGGTGTCTATAATGTGTTTGCATATTGTTAATTGTTTTGTGTGCTGTCCTTCCCTGCTGATGCTTATTACCAACTAAGTGGATTTGGCTATGGAGCCTGTGACAAGACCAATCTCGCCACTGTGCATTGGAGGAGCCTGGTTGCCCGCCTGCTGCCTTTAGACTATGGTCCCATGTTGAAACGCTTGATTTTCCCCTGCGAAGACACGAAAGCCGGGTCATTCGGTGTTTGCCCTGTTTAAGCGGTGATAACCCAGATAGCTATGCCACGGAGCCCATTCTTATAATGAAAGACTATGGGAAAGACTTTGGCTCCATGGAAATTGAACTGTATGTGTGTGCTCTGAGCGCCATTCAGTAATAATCTTGCTTCATTTGGTTACAAAGGACTACGATCTATCTTTTGAACCACTGGACCAATTTGTATGATTTTGACATATGTTTGTATTTGGAGTATGCTGATTTTGAAAATGTAAGTTGGGAAAGACTTTGGCTCCATGGCAATTGAACTGTATGTGTGTGCTCTGAGCGCCATTCAGTAATAATGTGCACTCAGATCTGAGCTATCTGGGGATATGTTGAATGTTCGTGTTTTATGCAATGGCTGCACAGTTATATATTTTTATGTATTTTATTGTCTTTTGCTGCTATGTGTTCAGTGGAGTTTTTCCTCTGTCCTTGGAGATAATCAAATAATTCACATAATTTATGTGAATGTGATGCATACTTTTAAAGTTATGAATAATGTGGAAAAACTGTATTTCTCTGCCGGTGATAATTACATTACCCATTGTGTAAGGTAATTGTATCACAGGCAGAGGGGAGGATTTTGTGTGGGAGTGTCTGAGTGTATTGTACGTGTTTATTGGTTGTTTTCCAAAACCCTGTGGGTGGTACTAATGTGTATATAAGAACACTAAACCCACAGCTCTCTCTGTTTCTGCTTGACCCTCAAAACGGAGCCTTGTCTCATTCTTTGGGGGATTTATTGTATGCTGTTCCAGTTTGACTGCTAGGAGTGTAAACCTATTTGTATGGTTTTTCCTATTCAGCTGTTTACAGCATTCATATGCTTCTCCGGTTCGGTGGATTGGTGTCTACAGTAGGTGCCTGTGTCTCTGGAAGGGGAAGGTCTCCTAAATGGCTTTTAACCCCTTTTATGCCTGGGGGTGCCGTTACAGAGCCTGTATAGCGCCCTCTGTTTGTAGCAACAGCTATATCCACTACCTGAATAGCAAGGCTTGTTGATTTGCATGTTCAGGTAGATTTGCATATTGCTAATTCTGCAGGCAGGGGAAATATTTTGTGTTAATTATTGTCTTTCCCACACCTTTATAAATATGTAATTGTGTTATTATAAGTTGCTATATACTGTCTGATATGATTTGTTTGTTGTATTTTTATTGAGTTGTCACAGCAATCTATATGTAATAAGCTTATGGGCTAGTCCCAGGTAAAAAATAAATGTGAGCATGTTAGTTCCTTTTGAAACAGTGTATTCTGTGTGGATTTTTAGGGATCTGTTGGCTCTCTCTGGCACAAATAAAAGAAAGCTAAGCCCAGGGCTCGAATCCTGCAGGAACGCATGGGCATGGCATTCCTGCACTTTTTCCAAAGCAGGAACGTCGTTCCCACTAGTAGTCCTGCAGGACTCAAGCTCACACACCATCCAGCACACACACACATCTTCCAGCACACACATCATCCAGCACACACACGAACACACACCATCCAGCACACACACACATTACCCAACATACACAAACACACACACACCATCCCGCACACACACACACATCATCCAACACACACACATCATCCAGCACACACATCATCCATCACACACACCATCCAGTGCACATACACACACATCATCCAGCACACACACACATCATCCAGCTCACACACACACACATCATCCAGCACACACACACAGACATCCTCCAGCACACACACACACACATTATCCAGCACACACACATCATCATCACACACACATCATCCAGCACACATGCACACACACTTCATCCAGCACACACACACTGCATTCATTATACACAATCTGCACTTACTACAAACACACTACATTCATTATACACACTCTGCACTCATTACAAACACACTACCTTCACCATACACACTCTGCACTCATTACAAAGAAACTATATTCACTATACACACTCTGCACTCACTACAAACAAACACACTACATTCATTGTACACAATCTGCACTTACTACAAACACACTACATTCACTATACACACTCTGCACTCATTACAAACACACTACATTCACTATACACACTCTGCACTCATTACAAACACACTATATTCACTATACACATTCTGCACTCATTACAAACATACTACATTCACTATACACACTCTGCACTCATTACAAACACACTACATTCACTACACACACTGCACTCACTACAAACACAGTACATTTATTATACACAATGCGCTCACTACAAACACACTACATTCAATATACACACTCTGCACTCACTACATTCACTGTACACACTCTTTAGTGAGTGCAGAGTGTGTATAATGAATGCAGAGTGTGTATAGTGAATGTAGTGTGTTTGTAGTGAGTACAGAGTGTGTATAATGAATTCAGTGTGTGTAGTGAAGTTGTGTGTTTGTAGTGAGTGCAGAGTGTGTATAGTGAATGTAGTGTGTTTGTAGTAAGTGCAGATTGTGCACACACTACATTCATTATACACACTCTGCACTCACTACAAACACTACATTCATTATGCACAATCTGCACTCACTACAAACACACTACATTCACTATACACATTCTGCACTCATTACACACATACTACATTTACTATACACACACTGTACTCATTACAAACACACTACATTCACTACACACACTGCATTCATTATACACAATCTGCACTCACTACAAACACACAACGTTCATTATACGCAATCTGCACTTACTACTGTGATGTTTTGTACAAATAAGCCAATAAACGAAGTACTCACTTTACTAATACATATATGACAGGATCTTCATATTGCAGCCTTGTTACACAGGGTTTCTGCAGCCGCCATTTCAAATCCCTGGAACATTTCACCAACTGCCAACAGGAACAGGAAGTAAAGAACCAAAAGAAAGGAAGTGCATCATTCACAGCCAACAACAGCCCAACTGCCCATACATCACAATACATACACTCATACACTCAAACACACACATACCAGCCCAACAGTCCATACATCACATCTCCTTCCTTTCTCAACAAAAGAAAGAAAACAAAACAAAATAGTAAAAAGTCAACAATAATAAAAGAACAGTTTAAAAATGTGTCCTTAATCTGCATCATTCTGTCCATCATCTTCAAGATCTACAATCTTTGTTTCAGGACAGCTTATTCTACTCCTACTAGGATACCATTTCCGCCTTCTCCCTGTGGAGTTTCTCTGACTATAGTCCCTTAATGGATCTTCTGGTTGCCAGCGGTTTGTGGCCCTTCTCTCTCTTGATGAATAGACAGTATTTTCATGACCACAGCCTTCATGGTTACTTGAACTGTGGCTTGGCAGTTCTTGTTCCTGTGTTTCATGGGGTATTTCCTCCAAATTACATCATAAGCCTCTGTACCAGGTGTATTGCAGACTTCAGAAATGTCATCATGCCAAACTCCATGCCAGATATCAGTGTCTGGTTGCATGAGTGGCCCTACCACTTTGATAGGTTGTCTGTTATACGTGGTCGAAGTTGATTTGTATGTCTCCGTGTGTAACATCCATCAGAGGTTAAAACTTTATAGTGCGCTGGCCCCAGAACTTCCTTTATCACTGCTTCTTTCCAACGATTCTCCTGATGATATACACGCATCCAAACAGAATTCCCTGTCTGGTAACAACGGCCTGCTTTTCCGACTTGCATCTTCGATTGTTGCTGGATAACCCTTTGTTGAATCTCTGGTTTTAGCAGATCCAACTTTGTCCTGAGTTCCTGGCCTAACATAAGGCATGCTGGAGGTTATCCAGTGGTTGGATGAGGTGTATTTCGATACTATAGAAGGAGCTCAGACAAATGATGTTCATGTCTCTTTCCTTCTGCTTTTAGACTTCTCAGAAAACCCTTTAACGTTTGAACAAAATGTTCTGCTTGACCTTTAGAAGCAGGATAATACAATGCTGTACGATGATGCCGAATATTGTTTTCCTTGAGAAAAGCCTGAAATTGTCCAGAAATAAACTGCAGTCCATTATCTGAAACAAGCACTCTGGGCAAGCCAAATGTTGCAAATAGTTTCTGTAATGCTTTATGTGACAGATCCATCTGTCTAAGTACTATCTGCTGGTTCGTCTATGTTGTTATACAGTCATGGAATTACCTGCCCGTACGTCCCTGTTCGTTGCTGGGTGGTCGTCGTTAGTATGTCGACCACGAGGCGGCGGCCATTTTAAACACAGGAATGAGCAACGGTGTTCGACGATGAACTTATGGAACTCAAACCGGACACTTTTTCTACCGAACACCACTGAAACCGCCGACCGCCCTTCTTATCATGAGGCATACGAACGCCGGTCCATTCTGGACTTTTTATTGTTAACCCAGATAGCCATCCCATGGAGTCATTCGTATACCGAAAGAACAGTGTGAAAGACTTTGACTCCATGGCGATTGAACTGTGTGCATTGGGGCTGAGCGCTATTCGGTAGTAATGTGTGCTCAGATCTAGGCTATCTGGGGATACGTTGTACGAATTAAATGCATTCGGTAGTTTTACATTTATGGATTTTTATATGTTTTTATTATACCATTTAAAATGGCGGTTTGCCTCTATCCCTGGAGATAATTGGATTTCTTCCCAGTTATCTCCAGGATAGAGAGGAGGGGTTTACCTGTACAAAGGGGAGTGTTTATACCTGAGCCACTGTGATTGGCTACTGTACCTAATTTGTCTCAGTCTTCCATCTGGTCCCCTAGGGGAGTGTCCACCAGGTGGAAGACCTGCATGAATACTGGGCAGGTAGCCCTCAATAAACCAGAATCCTGTTTTACCCTGAAGACGGAGCTTGGTTTCGTGTTTGGGGGGATTGCTACTTTGGAGTATTATTTTGCCTGTTCCAGGAGAGAAGGATTTCGGCTGATTCTCAGTTCGGGGAATTGGAGTGTTCGTGAGCTGCTAGTCCCGTATCGATGAGAGAGGTCTTTCGTATAATTATCCAGTTCGGTGAATTGAAGGGTTCATGAGTTGCTATTCCCGTAATAAGGTGAACTCCCTATTCGGTATTAACCCATGATACCTGGGTTATACCGTAAAAATTTAACAGTAGCTTCTGCAGTGGTCTGCGACATGAACTTCTGGCCATTTAGAATGTGCATCTACCACAATCAGATACATTTTATTTTCCACTGGTCCAGCAAAGTCTATGTGAATTCTCTGCCATGGTGATAGAGGCCAGGTCCAAGGTTATACGGCACCATGTGGCAAGTCACGCTGTGCTTGTGCACAACCAGTGCAACCTGAAAGATAACGGGCAATATCCTCATCAATGGTTGTCCACCATACATGACCTCTTGCCTTCTGCTTCATGCGGTCTATGCCAGGATGACCTGCATGTAAAATTTCAAGAATCTGTTGTTGTAACACAAAAGGAATAACCACCCTTTCTCCCCAGACTAAGCAGCCATTTGGAATTGATAACTCCTGAGCTCTTGTTTGGAATGACTTGAGATGTATTGGAGTCTTTAGTGGCCAACTCTTGTGTACAAAAACAAGTATTTCCCTCAGCAAAGAGTCCTTGGCTGTCTCCTGTGCAATTTCTCTGGCTGTTATCACCTCACTGAAATATATTGTAGATCTTTCTGTGGTAGGTAATTGTTAATCCATTTTCAATGGAAGTCTAGAGAATGCATCTGCATTAGAATGCAAAGCGTTTGTTTGATATTGTATATGATACTGATAAGCCCCCAGAGTTAAGGCACACCTCTGAAGTCTTGCTGCTGTCGTGATTAAAATACCTTTCTGTGGGTTAAAAATTGTCAATAAAGGTTTATGGTCCATAAGCAGTGTGAAGGGTCAACCATATATATAAAGATGGAATTTCTTTACTGCCCATACTATTGCCAGAGCCTCTTTATCTATTTGAGAATAGTTTTTTTCTGCAGCTGTGAGCGATCTAGAGGCAAAAGCCACTGGCCTGTCTGTCCCATCAGCCATGGAATGAGACAGGACTGCTCCCAGTCCGTAATGTGATACATCACAAGCAATGGAAACAGGCTTTTCCAAGTCGTAGTGTACTAAAAGACGTGAACTACAAACTAATTCTTTTGACTTATGGAAAGCTGAAGCATATTCTACTGTCCAGTGCCATTGTCATTTACTCTCTAAAAGATGATCTAAAGGGTACAGGACATGAGCTAACTTTGGCAAAAAACGGTTGTAATAATTTAACAGACCAAGATAGGACCTTAGTTGTGTCACATTTTGTGGAGTTGGAGCATCCTGTATTGCCTTGACCTTCTCATCTGTTGTATGCAGCCCATGTTTGTCAATTACATGAGCACAAAATTCAAGACGATCCTGCATGAATTGGCATTTATCCAAATTTACCTTCAATCCATATTCCATAAGTCTTTGCAAAACTGCCTCTACATTCTGTTTATGTTCCTCCTCTGATTTACCCATCACCAGCATGTCATCTAACAGGCACTGTGTCCCAGGAATTCCAGCTAATAGCTTGTCCATTGTTCGCTGCCAGACAGCTGGTGCAAGTGAAATGCCAAAAACCATACGGTTATACCTGAATAGCCCCCGATGAGTATTAATCATAAGTAGTGGTCGAGAATCTGGATGAACAGATAACTGTAGGTATGCATTTTTCAAGTCAATTTTGGTGAATTGCTTGCTGCCTGCCAACAATGCAAAAATATCATCTACCCTAGGAAGGGGATACTTATCTATTTTAAGCTGTGTGTTAAGAGCCATGCGGAAATCCCCACAAATCCGTATCTCCCCATTTCGTTTTCTCACAGGAACAATGGGCAAAGCCCACTCACTATTGTGAACCCGGGAGATGATATTCAGCTCCTCTAATCTCCTCAATTCTGCCTCCACTCCAGCCCTTAGAGCAAAAGGCACACTTCTTGCTTTAAAAAATGTCGGTGTTGCTCCTCCCTTTAATTCTAAGGAAACTTGTTGTCCCTTTACAGTCCCTAATTGGCCATAAAACACTGGTGCATACTTTTCCTGTAATGCCCTAATCCAGTCAAGTCTGGTCTGATTTTCATTCAACACATGACATGGATACTTATGCACTTGAGGCATTCCAAGAGCCCTTATCCACTCCCTACCAAAAAGTGGAGGTCCTCCATTCTCTAAGATATAGAGAGGTAGTTTCTTCTTACACTTGTTGAATTTAACTGTGACTGTCACACAACCCACTGGTATTAACAGCTCTTTAGAATATGTCTGCAGTCTCGCTGTTGTCTGAATTATTGGCCTATGTATTTTAAGGCGTTTCCAGTCTGTCAAAGAAATCACTGATACAGCGGCACCTGTGTCCAAATCCATAGTCAGTTTCTTTCCATTTGCAACAATCTGAACTGTGAATGCAGCCAG